ACTTTTAGCTATCTTTTAACTACTTTTAGTTTTTAGCCAGGCTTTTGCTACTTTTAATTTTTAAATAGCTTTTTGTTACTTTTAACTAGCTAATCTACTCTGAGAAGGTGTTATTTAAGAGACTGAGCTGAAAACAGCACCTCAGACTGAGGAAGTCTCTCGGATGAGAGACGAAACGTTTCTACATTTTTTTTTTTTGCTTTGTTTTGTTTTTTGTTTTGTTTTTAATGTCCAGAGGACCAGATTGAACTTTTTTTGGATTTTTTTACCTGGATTATTGAGCATGCATCAGGATAGCTAATAACTAGTTTTTTCTTCAGCTTTTAGTTAGCTTTTTGCTGTTTTTAACTTTTCAATAGCTTTACTTTTAGCCAGCTTTTTGTTACTTTTAGCTTGGAGTTAGCATTTAGCTACTTTTAGCTTTTAGGCATCCATTTCTTACTTGAACTTTTAGCTAGCGTTTCTGTACTTTTAGACTTTAGCTAATTGTTTGGTACTTAAAACTTTTTGCGAAACTCTTGCTTTTTTTTTTTATTCACCTGCATGGTTGCTCTTTTGACTTTTAGCTAATGTTTCACTTCTAACAAGGTTGAGTCAAGTCCTCTGGACGGTTCCACCTTCAACTTCCACTTCTTTTTGTTTTAACAATTACATTTTACCATCTGAGTCACTGAACTTTAGTGCAGTTACACAGAAAATGCAACGTTTTTAGTTAAATAGATCTTTCTGCCTCAGTCTCCCTGATTGTTTTGTCTCTAATTTATTTTTGCTTCACACCTCTGTCTTTTGCACATCGTTACGTTTATTTTTCCATTTCTTCCTTTGAGCTTTATTACGTGAGATGCGCCATATTTCAGACTCCAGACGATGCTTGGCCTCTAAAAGGTACTTAAACAGGTCAACACAAGGTGACGGTGCAGCATTAGCAGCACAGGGTCCAGAGGGAGACGTAATTATTTGTGGGAGGATGACATTTTCACTGCAGCTTGTCGTTTATTTCCTCATCGTTCCTCTCTGGCTCGCTTGTCTTTGTTCCATTTTTTAAAATTATGCTTATTTTCTATCTTCTCATCTTTTGTCGTTCTCTCTCTGCAACAAGATAACCTTTTGAAAGAGGCTGGGTGTTTTGACACCACCAGCTAAATTAGGAGCAACACAACACTGGCCCTGGCACACACACACAGACACACATACGCTCAGCATCTTGTTTCTGTCTCAGCCCGGTTCGCTGTCGGACTCGGTGCTGGTTTACAGGTCGGTGCATTCAGAACACCTCAGGCTCACGTGGTCCAAACTAAAGGTCTTGACTTCATGTCTTTTGCAAACAGAATTAGCTGAACGCTAGCTAATTTTGTTTCTCCACAATGTAGCTCTTTCTTTATGAACAGATCTCATCCTGACTGTTTTTCCAGCTACACATTTACAACAAAATAGCAAAGAATAAAACTTCCTGTGTCTCAGTATCCAAAGTCTAAAAGGTTTGTTGCCAAGCTGATAATTCCTTCATTTTATGAAAGGAAAGCTAAAACGATGCTTAACAGAAATAATTTTATCATGCATGACAGCACTGCGTGGCTTTTCTCTCTCACTGCCTGAAAAAAAGAACATTCCCTCATCTTTGTTTCTACTCTTTTTCTTGTGTGGTACATAAAAGCTGAAATCCCTGAAGTGTGAACCTTCCCTCAGTTGATGGCAACGACTCTCGCTTCAGTTTGTAAATTCAACCGCTCTTTATTTCCCTTTAGTCACAGTCCTAAAATTGTTCTCAGTCACTTGAGAGAAAGTTGAGTGTAAAGATAAAATGGAGCCTGCAGCTTGTAGCTTAATTAAAAGAGGTTCGAGTGACACTTGCGAAAAATGAAGGCGGTCGCCGAGCAGCAGACTCCAGCATCACGGAGACTCGGAGGGACTCATCGGATGTTTGGGGTTAAAACTGTGTAATGCATATTTAATGACGACACCTTTAAACACGATCTTCAAGTATCCCAGCAAAGTGAATGTTAGTGGATATTTCAAACAAATTAATTGGTTTATTTACAGTTTTGAAGACACATTTGCAGGTAAAAAATATGCCTATTGACAAGAACTGTGTTTTAGGATTCGTACACGTCGGACAACAAAAATGGTTAAAAGGTTTATTGAAAAACAGCTGCTGATTGAGGTCAGAATCCAGGGGAGGGACCACTCTTCTCCATCAGGAGAGGTGGAGGCCACCTGAAGGAGTTGGGCAAGATAATGTGCTGGATGAACGGGCCGGGTCGGTGTCAGGCTTTTGATCAGCTGATGATCCAATTATGTGGCAATATGGCTTGCCTTAAAATCCAAATATATGGCAACATGGCTTGCCATTTATTCACCAGCCTCACACAGCCATTTGACTGCACGCTGCCCAACCTTGAAATATATATTTTTTAAAGTTCAGTTAAGCTTCAGATGGGACTATACTGCCCGGCAGCGAGCCATCGCCCAAATGGACGTTCGGCCGCTGCACTCAGCGGACGCGCACGGCCGATGACGCAGACAGGTGAGATCACCAAGCAGACATGTCAGAGCAGGGTCCGTGTCTGAATAATGCAGAATGCAGGGAGAAGAAGGGATTGAATGCGCTTTGACGGCCATGAAAGGACAAACACCCCCTCGGCTCCGATCTTCGGCACCTTTTAATCAGCCGCGCGCGTCTGCCGACTGTTAAAAACTATATAAGCAGTCAAAGCTTAATTAAAAATGTCTGGGGTTGTTCGGGTTTGGACCTGTAGTTACCGTTAATTGGTCGGGTGGGGTTTGGAAATGATGGATACGGGCTGGGGCCAGGTCAGGTCAGATATTTTGTGCCCAAATGCAACTCTACCGTGAAAGGTTTGATAATCTGGCAGATTGGAGTGGTGAGAGGAGTCCTTAAATATGGAACAGAACAGGTGTAGTGAATGATGAGCTGAAAGCGCAGAGTGGCTGTGTCAGAGTCACAGAGTGTCAGATCATGGCATGAAGGGGCAGAAACACGACACATCTTTTCTGATGGTCTGATTTTATGTTCATTTCACACATCACTTAAAGCCAGAGCAAACCCGTCTTATGTGACTGTGTGAAACTAAAACATTACTATCATACTGTATGGTTTGTGACACGAGACATGTTTAAAAGTTTACAAATATTTCCAGTGTTTACATATTAATTCCATATTTTATTCAGGTTTTTAATTCATGGTTCTTCCCATTTCAATTCTGTGTGCATTTTTGTTCACGTCGTCACAGACTTTCTCTTAAACTTTGATGGAAAACTTTTAATAAATGTAAAAGACCTTGAACCACCCTGCAGCACTTCAGTTTCAGTTTTGGAGCTAAATTTCATCATGCTCAGTTTTTGGTTGTAAGAAAGTCAACGGTGAACAAACTAAACATTTATCATGTTGGTTTCTTTAATTTGAAATGCAGAATAAACTGTTTTGTAGCAAAATATCTACAAGGTGAAGGTTCAGCAAAGAAGTCTCTCCCGTCCTGCTGGTTGTTTGGAAAGTTCCTATTGAATAATGAAATATGCTTAGTTTCTTAAAACTTAGAAAATAATATATTTCTAAATAAATTATTTTGATTATTTAAGAAAATCTGGCATGGACTGGGAACGTTTGGTGAGTTGGTTTGTAATGAGTTATGTGGCTCCAAAATAAAACTACAAATGCAGATATTTTATTAAAAAATGCTGCTAAATTATATTAAAATGGCTCTTGCTCTGTGTCTATTCATGCAGCGAGAAATGTAACCAAAATATATTTTAACAAAGTTTAAAATTAATAACTTTGTACTAAAAGACCTCCATTTCTTTTACAAATGTTATTAAAGTTTATTAACTTTGTGCAAAGTCTTTGATCTTTTATAACTCCACAGATCAGAATGAAGCTGAATGTGGTATTTTTACCTTTACAATTCTTTTGCAATAAGTTACCATAATGAAACTGTGGCATTTTGTAAAAATTAAATCTGCATTTGTCACTTTGAGTATCTAAACACTAAATAAATGTGAATAACCAAGCAAGATAATCACCTTGTACGTTTGAAGAGCTTCTTTACAAAACTCTTTCCTGCTCTTTAAAAGCAATAAACCTGACAGTCAAAAAACTCCTATTTGAATTTTTACAGTGTTTCATGTGAATAATTTACACTTTTAAGACGTTGCAAAGGTTTTATTCCAGTGACGTCTTCGTTCTGAGGGCTGAATAAAAATGTTATATACATTTATTTCAGCCGAGATGATCACATAAGTTTAAAAGTGTGCTGCTACATTGAATAATTAAAATGTTTGTGTAGCTTCTGCATTCAGCTCATGCTTTTGAATATAGTTTTATAAAATCAGATTAAAATGTAACTCCATCTACTTGTGTTCCTCTGCAGGGAGTTTTTCCTGCCAGCTACGTTCACCTGAAGAAAGCCGTCGTGACAAACCGCGGGTAAGTCCAGAACCTTGGGAGGCCGTGAAATATCTGGAGATCTTGTTTTCTGATCAGATCAATGTAAATATTTAATTCAAATCAACATCAAACTTATTTAAACTTTATAAAAGTTAGTTGTTTATATTGGCTCAACTATAAAAATGAACAGATGCTCAAACTTTCACTTTAAGTTCTTCAACTTATAAGATCAGCTGAGAAAACCCACACATGCACGGAGAGAACATGCAAACTCGACCCAGAAAGGTCCCTGGCCTGGATTCGATCCGGCGACTTTTTGCTTAGAGGCAGCAGCGCTCTGTGAACTGATCCACCATGCCACAAATCAACCAGATATCCAGCTGTAAATGTTTCCATATAATAAAGTGAGAATGGTCCATTTTGAGTAAACCGCGACACATGAGGTTAGATAAAGCTCTGATGAAGTCCCGCTGTAATCTTTTGGTTCCTTTCTTCTCCTCACATAATCCAGACAGGCTCCATGTTAAGATCAGGGCCTCGAGGGAATAAAACTGCAGAACTGCTTCTTCTTCTGAATGATGTGCAGGCTTATTGTCCAGGGAGTCATTAGACACCTTCCTCTTGTTATTGCAGAATGGAAAACCATCTAAGCACCAAAAGTAATCCAACGTTTACACCACCCTGAATGAAAACTTCTTGAAGTCTCTGCAACACTGATCTGATTATGTGGAAACAGCCAGACTAAATCACTCGTGTGTATCTGGGATAATGTCCCAGTGGAGTGTGTTTTATTTCCAGCAGGGCTGTGAGGAGTCTCTTATCTGCATTCAAATATATATAATAATAATAATATTGTCTTTTTTTAATGCAAACATCCTTTGCTTTAGGACTCATTCACAGAAAAAGGAATAAAAATCCTTTTTTTAAGTTGCTATATGCTTTCACACATGAACATAATGATTAAAAAAGCTTGTTAAAGGGGACAAATGTCAAAATAACTTCTTTTACAGTCTGTGTAATTTGCATATGCATATTGTAATTAAAAATTAGGGAAATTAAATAATTGAAACAAATTATTTTACAGTTTTGTCTTTGACCTCAGAGCAAAGAAACTAATTTCACAGCAGTGAAAGTTAGAAAGTACTTTTTTAACTTAACACAACAACAACCAGGAATATTGAAATAGCACCAGTCATGCACGGAATGGGACAAACTTCATCATAATGGCCGACTCATGGTGCTTTTTGTTTTCTTGATGTAAACTTGAGTTTGAACTTTTCTAAAACTCAAACGTCAGTTTCTCTCTGAATAGTATAAGTTATGTTTTTGCTGTTGTGTTCTGGAGTTGTGCTGCTCAAGGTGGCTGCATGTTGGAGTAGCTGTTACTTTCATTCTGGGATACTGCTTTTGAAAACTTTATTTCCTCGTTGTTCTGGATGTAAATGGCTTTTTTTGGATGAGAACTTCCTCTGATATCAGATGCTGTGCAGCTGGAAGGATTTATACTGAAACCTTCTTGCTTTTGGACATTTGTTATGTAGCGTAACCATGACAACAAGGTGGTTTTTACAACCGGGAGCAGCTGATTAACATCTCAAAGCTCAAATATTACCTCAAATACAGCCCCAAATCCCAAATAAGTTGTAAAGGAGGCACCATGGATGCATCTCCGTCTACCTGGCGGAGGTGCTTGAGTGACTGACTGCTGAGATCCTGGAGCTGGCAGGAAACGTCTAGAACAACTCTTAATGAAACCAGATGATGAGCTACAACAACATTTAACTTCCCTTTGGGATTAATAAAGTATTTTTGAATTGTATTTGCTTCTTGTAAATAGTCGCTCTGAAATGCAACAGGGGATATGTTTTAGTGCATATTAAACATGTTTAACTCTTTTTTTCTGATGACTTGAACTAAAAGAAAGTTTGAACTGATGAAGCCATGGATGGTTGTGATGTTAGAACAAGTTGACTGGTAGTAAAAGAAATCAGAACTCGAGAAGAAAAGCTTAAAATTAGAAATGTGAATAAAGGAAGGAGCACTAAGAGATGAAGATTATTTGCCAGAAAGAGGAGGAACTTTAGAAAAAGAAACAATCACAGAAATGGAAACAAAGCGGGAGGGAAAATAAAAATACAAGAGGAGAAGATTCAGTGAGTAAAATCAGCTGGCCGCAGCTGCTCAGCTGGGAGGAAGACTCATCTGGAACATTAGCTTTTATTAATTAATTAGTTCTGAGACGGCGAGAAAATGGGTTGAGTGAAGAACACACGTGAAACAGATGCGCAAAACAAAAAGAGTTTTAAAAAAAGTCACTATTTATGAAAAATAAGTTAAGTTGGACTGAAACATTGAGTCAGCATTCAGATTTATTCAACCAATGTCCCCAAGGGGCAAAACACAAGAATAATAATAGGTGCACCACTGAGAATCTGCTGACAGGCTGCATCACAGGATGGTACAGGAACTGCACCAGTCGGAGCCGGGACGCTCTACAGAGGGTGGTGCAAACAGCAGAGGACATCACTGGTAGCAGTCTCCACACCATCCAGAACATCTACCACAGTCGATGTCTGTGTAAAGCATGCAGCATCATTAAGGACCACACCCACCCAGCACAAGGACTCTTCTGTCTACTACCCTCAGGCAGACGATACAGGAGTCTGCCATCGCGTACAAAAAGACTAAAGGACAGCTGTTACCCACAAGCTGTCAGATTACTGAACTCTCGATAAATAACACTGAACATCTGGCAATAACTAACTAAAAATTCAACACCAATGTCATTACCTGTGCAACAACCTATATGTGGTATATGTTCATTATGTGCAGTATATTTAT